CAATGGTAGGGGAAACAGCTCTACAGCAGACAATATCTTTTGTGAACAGTTATTTATAATGTGATAACAGAACAGTATTTAAGTAGCTTAGTTCTCACTGTAATACCCCAGTCTCGAACTAAAGTTTTACTTCACCATCTTATCTCGAGCTCCTGCTACTTGCAATGCCTTGACCCCACAACACTCTCATCACATCAGTGAACTCAGTCGGACATACCCGAAGTGTGAGATACCAAACTGTTTATCATGTGTTGATTGTCACATGGAATTTAGGCTTAACAGATATCAAGGCTATACAGCTTTGATATTTTATCTCCATGGCCAATTATCTTGCTATATGGTGAAATAATATTTATTCTGGATTCTTTAAATTTGAGTTCAAATCTAGCATCAGTGATGCACTCTAGTGATATAAGATTGAATGGTGTGTCAGGACAGTGAATACACTTCTTTAGTGTGACTGGAGTGATCTTTTCTCCTTCAACTATTTTAATCTTAACAGTTTCTCTTTCTAAGCTTTTGGATTTGCTTACACCAATAACTTTATGTCCTGGGGTCTCAACATAGTCAGAAAAATATAATCTATTTTTAACTATATGTCTGATAGTGCCAAAGTCCTCTAGCTATGATACTCCTGAGAGTGAGGTAAGTGCAACATCCATTGCACAAAATGCATAGTCATCTTCTTCTGAGTCTGATTTGGCAATATATGCCTGAGTCTAGCCCCTTCTCTTCTCTTTCTATGACTTTCTGAAATTCTTCTTCCTATTTGAGCAATTTATTCTGATGTAACCAGTTTTCTCATATCTGTAACATGTGACTTTCAGATTGGACTTCTTGCCATATGCTGCAAGTGTCATAGTCTGATCAGAAGTCTTTTTCTTTAATTGAATGTCTTCTTGAAGAATTCAGAAAATCAACTTGTAAGAATCTTTCAAGTCAGCAGTATTCACTGATGGGATGAATGAATTCCATGATTCCAGTAGTGATATAAGCAGTGTAATAGAGAAGTCTTTCTTCTCAACTTTCTGCTTAAAGGATGCCAGCTCCTTCTGATGGGACCTTATAGTCTTAATATGCTCCTCTATGTTTCCTTCTTCTTTACACTGAGCTCTGAAGAATTTCCTTCTGACAAAGACAATTCTCATAGGTCCCCTGGACTCATACATATCTTTCAGAGCTTCCCAGGCTTTTGCTGAAGTCTTTGAACCAGCAATATATATCAGCAGACCATCTGAAACCCATAATCTTATTGTCAAAAAAGCTTTTCTATCACTCTTCTTCCAATCTGCCACTAGTGTCATGTCTGCTAGGGCCAGAGTGCTTTCATCTGCATAATCAATTAGTTCTAAATCAGTTAGGATATCAATCATCTTGATTTTTCATGTCAGGTAATTTTCTGGGCTCTTAAGGGAATCAATTCTGTATATGGACTGACTATCTATATGATCCTATATGTGTATGTAAAGTACAAAAGAGTGCAAAGTGAGTAGTGATATAAGTTCAGTTATAGCTAAAGCCTATAATCTGTTGTAAGTAGAGAGCAGAATAATATACAGAGGATTAGAATTAGCTTCTCAAGAGAGAGATGTTCTACTTAAATACATTCTGTACTACTTTGAGATCTTTCTACAAAATACTAAATAAGTCTGGATCATGATCTAAGTCAGCTGCCACTGACTGGCATTGTATCTTCAAGTATATTCTTATACTTGCTTGAGATTGCTATCTCAACACAATATGATAAACACCACTGACTTTTGCATGACTATTCTATCAATGATAAGGTCTGACTAGACACCACCAATCTTCACTTTCCTCATCTGAAATGTAAACTTGCTGACAAATGCACTGAACCATTTTTGATTCTGACAAAAGTCAGTACCTCCACATACCATCTAAAACTACCTGATTTCTGGCATGTTCACCCAGTTTTCAATGAAACACTCCTTACTTCTTATGTCACATCCACCTTTCCTAACCAGAAAACCTCTCCTTCTTCAGAGCCCAATTTGATCAAAAACAAAGAACATTATGAGGTAGAGTAGATTTTTGACCATAAACTACAGAAGGTTCAGGCACATAATGGGAGCATCTGAACTGTTGTCTACTACTTGGTTAAGTGAAAGGGTTATAGACCAGAATCTAACCAATAGATATATGAATATGATATAAATGCAGATGATGCTATATGTGACTATAAAATTTTCATTAATTAACCCATCAGAATGATGGTCTTAGTAGAGGGATGATGTTATGATTTTTTCTTATCTTGAGCAACTACCTGTAGGTGTAGAGAGATTATGTAATCACAACAGACAGGCAAGTGCCATTGTACTTGGTCACTTCACCCATGGACAACACTCTATTGTCTACTCTCCAATGACCAGGCAGAACAAGCAGCATAGCACAGAATAGTACAATAGGCAGCTATTATATTTATCATGATCCAGACAGTATATAAGTAGGGTAGCTTTCACTGTAGTAGTCTAGCTTTGAGCTATAAGTTTATTCTGTACTTCTCTTCTCTTGAGCTTAGCTATTCTAGAGCCTTGACACATACCAACTACACAAAGAAGTAGACTCTGATATGACTCTATGAATATGATACAGCATCAGTTTATCACATATATAGGATCACATGCTGAGCAGATCTAATATAACAGAATAGTTTATTAGCTGTTTCCACTCTCAGAATTGCAAATCTGGTCTCTAGCTGCTTTGCTAAGAAGCCAGCATGAAATAGCTGTACTGCATACTCTGTGAAACTCTTTCAGTCCTTTATAAAGTGGTTGCTAGCCTGTGAATCCATAAAGTGCAGTGATTTGATTGGTTTCTATCTCTTGAACATTGTTGATACATATGCTTTGTATGTCACAGGTGTATCACATAAATTTCTTTACCTCAAAGAGGCTGAGATCCAGATTCAGAGCTTTATTATCAATCTCCTTAAGATCAAGTATATCAAACTCTAAAATAGATGAGGTAGTAATCTCCTCAAAATCTGAATTGGTTAGTAAACAGATTATCTCAAATTAATCTGAGTCATCTGAGTTGCTATTGACATCTTCAAGATGCAGCATCTCCTCATCACTCAGCTCATCTCTGGCCTGATGAGTATATGTGGTATTATCCTCTCTAGTGAATACTGTAACATCTCCTTTGAGCAGCACCTCCTTTACCATCACATCTTGGCTAGTCTTATCACCATTCATTGTTATATGTGCTATAAATGCAATAGAGAATATGGGCTATTGTCATGTTTGCCTGGAATATGTTGAGAGCTGTCACTGCTTGTATGCTGGATATTGTGTTATTTGCCTAGTTATTCCATCTATTCCTTCTGAAATTGTCAGGGAACTAACTCTCTTTTCCTCTCTCAGACCAATAACAATCTGTAATATTGTGAGTTGAACATTTATGAACTGATGTCTTGCATTAGTACAAAGAAGGTATGATCAAGAGCTAGTTTGCACTGTGAGAGAGGAAGCATATGATGATTCCTTGGAAATCTTTATTGGTTAATTCCTGTTCAGTTTCAGACAAGTTATTAATAGCAGTATGCTTTATGTGGAGGTCCTGGATGTGAGCATTCATATTGGCACTCTTTATATTCTCTGTGTTCTGAAGAATCTATTGAGCTTCAGATAGTGCTATATTGTTTGGAATAGTATAGATGTCTATTAGTGAGTCTTATGCCTTCTTTACTGTGCTCATTGTTTTAACCTCTAATTCAATAGAGTCAGAGACATTGAGAATGATATGCAAGCATATGTGGGAGTCATAGAATTTCCATTCATCATACAATGGTGTGGACAAGTATAGTAGTGTGAGATCTGATGGGAGTGATACAGTAGTTGATGTTGTGCCTATAGTTGCCTCAGTGGTAGGTGGATATAGAATTGTCTCATGCACATATCCCCATAAGCTTTTATCACTGATAATTTCAGTGATCTTAACCTGCCAAAATGCAAGGTTCTTTCTATTGAACTGGAAGGCTTTGGAGAGTTGAGTAATAGAAAGGCTCATTGTCAACATGGTTAGAGTTTACAGTTATTCATATAAATAGTTATGGGTATTGAGTTGCTCTTGTAGGTAAATTGTACTGCATGTTCTCTTTAACTGGTTTAGAGGCTAGGATGAGGCCACATAACTTAATGTAAGATGAACAATATAATCAGAATTCAGTTGGCACAGTACAGGTGAAACAACTGAGGTTGCAGAAGTAACTACATAGTATATATACTGTCAGAATAAAGTTTATGGATATAGAAAAACAAAAGAGTCTGTAATGAATGGTATACAATATAGTCAGGATTATGTCAGGTATTATGTGTTTCATTCAACAGATTCAGCCATATGCCTATTTATTGGGTTACTGATCCATTCATTCTAAATTTACTTATAAGTTCATACATTTCTGCTTGATTATTTCTATACTTACTTCCATCTGTCTTCTTTTATTCACACCCCAGTCTTTTATCACTATTATGAGTAAAGACTGAGATGCATATTTTAATTATATTACTACTCATTGATTACTTATCATACTGGTAGATTGTTGTTCATTGATAGTATGCATGCCTTGCATTGGGATAATGATGGTGAGTCTTAGTCAACTGAAATGATACCATCCTTCTCTAGTTGCTTTAATCCCTTCTTTCCAAGATGCTCATATTGAAGATGCTATGAATTCTAAGTGTTTTCACTTCCTTTAGTAATATGTGACCTCTCTGGATTCATTTATGCTTACATTTTCATGAGGTAAAGTTGATTTACATTCTTTCTCTTTGCTAGCACTGCACCACTGTTATAAAGGAATGTTACTTCTCTATTGAAGAATTTGGCCTTCAGTCCAGCATCATCAAGTCAGCTAATAGATATGAGATTGTTAATTGCATTTGGAGCATATGGAGTGTCTTTGAGATGATGTATGAATGTGTTTTTGTCCACTGTAGCTTCTAAAACTACTGCTTCTCATTCTAGGGCTTTAACTGACTGATTTCCTATCCCACTGATTGAGAATTCCATCAAGAGTGTGAAGTCTATGAATGAATGGATGTTATTACAGATGTGCAGTGTAGTTTCAGAGTCTGCAAGTCAATCATCCTTTGCAAATTTTAGACTGGTCTGCAAGTTGTAGTAGGAATTTGTCAAGTCTTGATTAGTACTTATTTTCTTTATCTGGTTTGACCTTTCTTTCTTCTTGTTTGCCTGAACCTTTCTCTTCAGTTCTGCCACTTTTGTACCAGCAATCCTTTGCTTGATGTTCAGGTTTCTTGCAATTTCAGCAAGAATCTTCATCTGAATTATCACTTCTCTTTGACAAATTCAATACTTTCCATGGAATTTTCCTCTTATGGCCATATAGTGCACTCTCCTTGCCTCCTGCCTTCTCCAATTGACATCTGTTTTCCTCTAAAATAATGGCTATAAATTCATGAGATGTTACAGTTGGATTATTCTCTGTAGAACCAAGGTATGCAGTCATAAATTGGTTCTAGGATTCAGACAGTGAAGTTATCAGCAGCATAAGAAAGTCATCATCTGAAACATGACTTCTGAGTATGTCTAACTCCTTCTGTATGCATCACATTTCAGTTACATGCTCTACAATATCAGTAGATTCATCTGCAGTTGTCCTATAAAGACAGTAACAAAATGAGAGTATCCCCAACTTCCTTCTAGCTTCTTTCACTAACTTCAGCTGCTTCCACATATCAGCTGTTGTAATGGCTCCAGAAATTTGAATCATCTGTGAATCACTCAGTATCAGCTCAATTTGTGTCTATGCTTTTCTGTCCACCTTGTCCTATTTCTGCATTTTCTCTATTTCATCTTCTGTTGATTTCTTGGAGTCTGCAGGCACTAGCCTTGCTTCTCCTCCTTTGGCATACTTCATGAGACCTCATTCTTATAGTATATCTGTCACTCAATGCTTCTATATAATCCAATTGTTTTCCCATAAGAGCCCAAAGCAAAATAACAATGATGGAATGGAATCAGATGGTGTAAACATAATGTATGACTAGAAAATGTGTAAGTTGTGTAAAGCAAGTGGTTGTGTGTGTTATATCATCAATGTATGTTTGTAGGGTCGGATTCCATAATCTGTTGAGGTTTGGGATTGAGATAAGAGTTGTAGATGAGTATAGAAGAGTTGTATTACACAACTGTAGTTGGGGTTTGTAGCAAGTTTCTTCATATTGGAAAAATTCTAGCTACTTATATACTATAAGTGATGTGTTTATATAGTATTCTAGTAAGTTCCTACACTGCCCCAGAGTCTCTGTGCTCAGTCAACAATGAACTAACTTGAGTACTTTGATCATCTCAAAGTTTCCGGACTTTTCCGGATTGATGCCGAGTCCGGTATACTAGATTTCATACGATCGATCATGCTCGATCATTCTCGATTTAACAAGAGTCAAGGACATTGAGAACGATTTGGGAGTGGATGAGTCAGTCACAGAATACCCACTCATCATACAAGAGGTTTGAACACTGAATTATAGGCAACAGGGCCTCATAACCTAATGACAGGAGAATATAAGTACATACTGCAAACAAGAGTGAGTAACATAGTAAGCAAACACTGTAGGGTATATGCACCTCAGTTGGATGCAGCGATGGTGAAACGACTGAGGTACATGGGTAACTATGGCAAGGCTTTATAGTGATTGAGTAGGGACAGGAGGTGATATATGTATATAAGGTAAGTAAGAACGAGTGACGATCGGGAAAAGTTGAACCGGGTATACTGTAGTACGGATATTCTCCAATACATGCCAAGGACACGAAAGACGGACCTATAATTCACCAAAAGTCGCATTTCAAACACCCGATAATATTTCTTCGTGTCCTGGATGTGACTCCTAATTTCATGTAATTATGTTCATCTCACTCAACGACCGCCATGTCTTTCCCACCAGCACCGTCTCCTCCGACTGGCCTCTGTATATACCGCGTTCTTTCTTCTAGAGCAGGCATACGAGTATCTCCCATCCAGCTCGGGGGTATGAGCATCGGGGAAAAGTGGGGGGCAGCATTCGGTACCATGAACAAGGAATCCAGTTTCGAGCTGTTGGACGCTTATTTCGACATGGGCAGAAACTTTATCGACTCCGCTAATAACTAGTAGGTTTCTCTTTACGATTGGTTTTGTCCTACTAATCTTCCTGCAGCCAAGACGGTGATTCTGAAAGATTTATAGGAGAATGGGCCGAACAACGTGGTATTCGTGAACAGCTCATTATTATGACAAAGGTCCATCCATATTTTCCGCATTGTGCCGTCGCTGACATTCCTGCTAGTACACAATGAACTACCATGGAGGCAATGACCACATCAAGCAAAAAGTCAACTTCGTCGGGAACAACGCCAAGTCTCTTCAGAATAGCACCACTACGAGTCTGAAGCAGCTGCGCACGTCGTATATTGATATCCTCTATCTCCACTGGTGGGACTGGGATACATCGCTTGAAGAGGTGATGGATAGTCTGCACAATCTTGTTCTACAGGGCAAGGTTCTCTACCTAGTACGTGTCTCTGAGGCTGAATATACCCTGATGCTCATATCACTCCGCTCCAAAAGGGAATTCCGACACTCCAGCATGGGTGGTCGCTCAAGCCAACCAGTACGTCCGGGATCATGGAAAGACGCCATTTGTGATCTACCAAGGCCACTGGAATGTCATGGACCGCTCCTTCGAGCGTGAGATCATACCAATGGCTCGCTCTTTGGGTATGTATGCGCTTTTTCTAATCGATCTCTCCACTCTAAACGATTGATAGGTCTCGCACTTGCTCCGTGGGACGTCCTGTGTGGCGAGCGCCTTCGAACTGACGAAGAAGAGGAACGCCGATGCACGACAGGTGAGAAGGGCCGAGAAAGTATGGTGACGCAGAGGTGGGAGCGCAGCGAAGAAGAAAAGGCCATGTGCAATGCGCTGGAAGTAGTTACTCACGAAGTTAGCGCCAAGAGCATCACTGCTGGTTTGTGTTCCGCTTGTGTCGGTTGCCGCTCTCTCAGTCTTTTTAGTGGCCATTGCCTACGTGATGCAAAAGGGGCCGTATGTCTTCCCCACCATCGGCGGCAGGAAGGTTGAGCACTTGAAGGCCAATATCGAGGCATTGGACATCACCCTCACGGAAGAAAACATAGCATTCTTGGAAAGTGCGCGCCCATTCGATCCCGGATTCCCCAATAATATGATCGTATGTGATATTACTACCCACAAATGAATCGTACTCAATTGCGCTTAGGGGGATGGATCAAAATACGACTTTTTCGGATTTGTTAGTACCGCTCAAATGGTGAAGCAGCCTGTTCGTCAGGCTATCCGACCGGCAGATGTCAAGCGTAGTTTGAAAGATTGGAGGATCTAACCACTGTTGAGAATGTACGCCGACACTGTAATACTCTGTATAATGAATTTGATATATGGAAATACTGTTAACAGTAACGTACGGCGAATGAAGCTTGAAGCTTAGTAAAGCTGGAATCGGTCCACCCACTACTTCAAATTATACAGTGTTTCACCTAGAGACCTTTCGCCGGTGATAATGATCGTTGAATGGACCATTAAAGTAACAAGTACTTACAGGAGGACATGACTCAAAAAGACATCAATATTAGCACATCACAGCAAAAAAGAAAATCTCGAAAAGTTTGTTTTAGGAAAGCCTTTCTCGGTCCCGAAAAGGCTGTCAGTATTGCGGAAAGACTTTCTGTGATATATGAATGTCCATAATACTAGTACTATGGCATAGGTGTGGTGAATTACTAGATAACTAGCAAATACTGATGTGACTAAGTTTCAACCGGCAACCAGATTTTGGGGGAAGACTTAGGACGAGGACCGTCGTGATCAGGACCGTGTTCAGCGAAAAGCTTGTAAAGTGTAGCACTCAGCGCATTCGCAGTCTTTGCTCTAGGTCGATCAATGAGAAATTCATGCGGACCCCAGTCCTTGAAAGTTATGAGTTTGGTGTCCAGATCGATAATTTTGAGTCCAGTGGGCGTTAACAAAGTGTTTGCGCTCTTCAGATCACTGAGGAAGATGCCACGGGATTCGATGTCGCATGCAGCGTCAATGACCTCGACAGTTAATATTTCCTTCTCATGCATATCCCATTCGCGATGAATCCACAGAGTAGAATGGACACCCATGAACGGAAGTAGTATTCCGTCAAGGTCTCCTTTGAGGAAGGACACCGGGGATCGACGGTAAAGTAGCGCTGGCTAGTGACTCCGCGCAAGGGGAGAACGTAAGGAGAGTCGCGGAGACAATGGTAATTGACCAGTTCTTCATCAATGCTGGAGTCAGGGTGAACTTCGGTGCTGAACTTGCAGACAGAGTTCGCCGTTGACTCGAAACAAGAAAAGCCTGAAATCCGGCAGCGAATAATGAGTGAGGCCATCCAAGTTGACGACAGGGACGCCATCAGGAGGGACTATTGTCTCCTTAGGTAGCTGCGGTAGCTCGTCTGGACGGGTATCGAAGAATCGAGAGTGGGATCTGTCATGATTTACTTGGATGCATTGCCAGCCCAGGTCCCTAGCTGTTTGGTGATACAGTGGAACGTCGATACGAGGAAATTCGTTCAATGGTACTCTGACGCCGAACCATCGAAGTCCACCATTGTAGTCGAAAACGTAGGTTTTTGCATCGTGTGAGGCGTCATGATCGACGATTTTGCTCTCTGGCTTGCAAATCTGCCAATTCGGGTACACCCCGGAGAGGTAGAACTCCAAGTACGACTGGGAGCAGTTTCGTTAGGCATGGCTACAACCCGCTTGAGAGGGGATCTTTTACACCAGCAGACCCACCCGGTTATTTGAAGGCAGCTATGGTAGTTGCTACGTTTGCCGTGAGAAAATTTTATTAGATCATTAATCGCCATCAACTTTATTTTCCTCTGAACGACACCTGTAGAACTTCTTCATCAGGGTGCGTGCGATCTATGGCCGATTCCGATGTCCTGAAGATCTGCTGTTATGATGCAGAGGGAGTAGAACCAACCCAGCGAGCTACATAGCCAGAGGAAACCCGACAGATGGTTAACCTAATTCAACATAGAAAATAGATATAGATAGAGCCAATTTCACCAGACGCCGACCTCCTCATTGACCGCATCGAGTAGCGACAATCGCAAACCTTGGAACATCCTTACACCACCCTCCTCGTCCCCAGCCCTCCAAACCCACTCATCCAGCCGTCCCCTCAACAACACGCTGAGCCTCGCGTCATGATACAGCTTGAAAAAATACCCATTCCCTCCAAAATAGTCGTACGCCACACCCATCCCTGTTTCCTTATGCAATGACTCGCACAGGAAAGACCAAAAGGCTGCTAGGGAGCGGGGCGTCCAAAGCCCAGGGGCCTCGTGTCCGTCAACGAGCACTACCCCACCAGGAGTGGTGACAGGGATTATCCACCCCAGGCCAGACCCCAGAGAGTCAACGCGGGCAGAGAGGGATTGATACTTCTCCAAGAAGCGTTGCGGAGTATGGACAGGCGATGTAAGCAATTTCGAGATGATAGTTTGAGGCTGGTATATGAATATGATGAGTGGGAAGGCGGAGGAGAGCGGAGATAACATACGATGGGTATGAGCCTAGAGGGATGTTCTTTATACTCGTAATCATCATCGTTTGGATCGCGAACTTTGGAATCGTCTTCATCTACGACAGTGACCCATTCTGAGATCCTATCTTCTTCGTACTCGCCCTCGACATGATTCTCTGTTTCCCCCTCCTCTTCTTCTTTCACATCCTGCACAGTGAAATCATCGGCATCCAGGATTTCACTGATAGAGCCATTGTGATATTGTATGTCTGCATCCGACAGAATGAACCGAGAGTCGATGTCTTCTTCTTCGTCCTCTTCGTCTGCATCCAGATTGGCTTTGAAGTTGACGAACCCCGTATTCGCGTCTTCGTCTTCGTTTTCATCATCGTCCAACATCAGGATATCTGGGCTTTCATCTGGCGGTTCAATGGGTGCGTCAGGGAAGGACCCGTCAACAGATGAAGAGTTTCTGTCTCCCTCTACGTGAGCTGTGCTCGCCTCATTGTTGGATCGACTATGATCAATGGACGGGAGGAAAAATTGGCTGTCCGTGTAATCCTCGTCGTGATCCTCGATATGAAATCCGGTGTCAGCTTCGGCCGACCATCCATGCTCAAAGACAGCTTTATCTTCTCTGCCACGTAAGGCTTCTGAAACCCTACGTGGCAGATTGAAATCCTTCTCCTTGCTTTCTTGAGATGATAAAAGAAGGTCTAATGCCACACACGCCTCATCTTCCTCCTCGTCTTCAGCAGACGGACGTTCATCAACGAATGCCGTGTTCATTTCATCCTCGTCCACTTTGTGGACATCAGCACCCCAGGTGAAGGAGATACCAGTTGCCTCGGAAAGGACGAAACCGAAGCTCATATCTTCCTCCATCTCACCCTCGTCTATGTGGAATCCCGTATCGGCTTCATCGAATCCCTCATTATCAGCGTCTCCAATGAAGCTCAAATTTCCTTCACCTTCTAAACCTGGTTTCGAGGAGGTCGAGGCTGCATTGCTTTCTCCTCTTTCGGCCAACCGCCGAAAAGGGTGAACGCCGTTTCGCCGCAAGGTCGAGGGCGAGATAGAAGGATGTTTCGACCTCGTGTCAGAACCATCATTGGGGGTAACGAAATGTGCGTCCAGGACGAGTCGTTTCGAAGGGTCGTATGGCTGTTCTTCATCATCGTCGGTAACGATAAATCCTGTATCAGCTTCTTCCATCTCTACGTCCCTGTACTCCTGCACCCGGGAACGTAGATCTTCTCGCGACCACGGTACCCATTCCTCAAGCTCTTCGAGCCCCTTTCCTTCGTCTCCGTCTTGCTCCAAATCGCCCCAGTCTCTGAGTGGCCGACGAGTATGTTTTCCCGCATCGAAAACTGGCGGGGAAATGGCATATTCCCATTGAGCATCAAAATTTAAGCGCAAGGTACGGAGAAATGGAGGCGTGAGCCAGGTCCCTTTGAGAGCGAGCCGTCTAGCAGTAAATAATAGAGATTCCTGGTCGATGTTGCCATTGGTATAATGATGGACGGTTAGAGACATTTGGGGGTTGCTGTGTCGACGCTTCATTAGCATAATGTCTGGTGACACAAAGAAGAAAGAATGATGCCTTTGTCCTGTGATGTCCTTTGTGGCCCCGGGATACTGAGTCCGTCATCTGAGGTCATGGCTAGAAGAGAAAGGCACCTTGCACCGCCACCGAGGAACTTATCCATCCGAGTCATTTCAAGGTTAATTGGGATCGGAGCTAACGCTGGAATCGTTCACAATTTGGAGTTGCTTTTTCGACCACAGCATTCACTATGCTACCAATTCACCCGCACCATAAGACACGAAGTGGTTGTAGAACATGCAAACAACGCAAAGTCAAGGTGTGTACTCATTGCCAACCCTTGTACAGCTAACTTAGATATTGATGAGGGTTTTATGAAAGAGAAAAAGAAAAAGAAAAAGAAAAAGAAAATCCAAGGATCCCAGAGAGAAGTGAGGTATACGGTGCATAGAAGTGATAGATAGTAATGATAATAGGATGAAGATAGACGCCGAAGGATATATATGCAAGTCCCAAGGCGTAGGAATGATAGATATGAATAATGATAGGTTGAACGAGCGTAGAATGTCGACAGATAGATATGCAAGTCGATGATCAAAGATCGTAAAGAAATTCGGAAGCGAAGAGCAAGCCTGCGGAAGTCCTGAGCAAATGTCCACATTGACGATGAGGCGACCGAGAAACGCGGAAAAGCAGGAGGAAGCCAAAGGATGTCATATTTTGTCATGCACGCGGAGGGATGAGGTGTTAGCGGCACAGGACACGTCAACTACTGGCAGTCAACGCTCCCTCCGAGGGACCTCGGAGAACGGTAATGGGCCGGCGACCATTACCGTTCTCCAACGTTCCTCATCTGCCAGGGATAGAGGAAAGACTGGTAAACTCGTCAGCGCACCAGCCTCCCCAGTGACCAGTTGGTCGTCCCTAACAACCCATCGCGGCAACGTAGTAGTTTGTGTAGTACACATCCTCGTCATCTCCATGTTTCATTGGTATTTCTTACTGGCCGATTCATCAAAGGGACGGGGAGCAGACTAGCTGAGAATAATGTCAGAATCATAAAAAATTGCAACTAGTAGAATAAAGCTCACGCAACGACGTGCTCTACGCGTTGAGGGATCACTTCGCACTTATATCGAGGCTCGATGCTAAGCCAGTATAAAAGCCTACAGAGCCGAGGGTATCATGGCCTACAGCGATGTCCCCATTCATGGCGCGTGATATCGAGTTCTGCGCCGGGACCGTGACGTACAAGCTGAGGGTGGCCTGTTCCGAAATCGACTCGGTAGTCACGGATGTGTCCTACAACACATACATGGTAGTCGGTACACCAAAGGGATTAAATGAACGCTCACCTGGGCCTGAGGAATATTCAGGGAAAAGTCGGCGAGGTTGCGAAATGGGAGGGATGCCATATTGCTCTTTACCTGAAAGTATACCACTGAGAAACGGAAGGATAGATTATGGTATATGACAATCACCTCGTGATTTGAAACTAGCAGTGAACCTGCGTCGTTCTCTACACAATCCGCCGTGGGCATATCTACCACCCCGCCTCGAGGCACCTTCCTCCATGGGATGAACGATACAGTCGGAACAATCGCAAGGATAGCCATGATTGCGACATATTGACATATATCATCAAATGGTTGGGAGAGGTAAGTCGAGGGCGGATGGAGGTACGCCGGAGTCAAGGTTATGCAGAACAAAGAGACCACAAGTGATGGCCATTCCCACGACGGAAAGGAGGACGAGCGGGTCGAAGAAGTAATCCCAAGAGCTTGGACAAGTGACAAAAAAGGCGGGAGACGGGAGGCAGCAGTAGAGGAAAAGGGACCACTGGCTGGTCTGGACACCCGCCTAACCACAAACACACAAGCTACCACCGCGACGGCGAATGTCGAAAGCACCAATGCCGTTACTATCTCCAGCGTCAGCACCACTTGCATGACCTTGGACAAGGGTTCGTCACTAGTCTGGTGTTCTATAACCGTTGTTGAAGTCGGCGTGAACATTGTCGGCTCGACAAACGGTACGGCACCCCTAGGGTCTTCGGCGATTTCAATGAAGGTTGGTTCGATGGTCATCGCGGCCATCCAAGATGGTAGAACTTCGTCTAGGAGTGCTACCACGCCGAATGTGACATTGACCTTGACGGTATGACGGGGGAGGGTGTCTGCGAGGAAGGATGGTGCTTCCCAGCTGAGATTGAGGCCGACAGTTGGCCCATAGGCTTTATATATCGACGTAAAGATGGACAAGAACGTAGCCAACAGGAACCCGAACAGGAAACAACGGTGGTGGTCTTTGGTCAAGAGTGTATGTGTTCTTTTGGCCGATCCATGGTTTGTTTTATACCGACCGACCTTTCCTCGATCGGTGACTGGTGCGTGACAGACGCGTTGAGGGAGAACACGCGTTCCACAGCGCAGAATAGTAGAATAGTAATGCGGTGAAAGGCGAGCAGTGAAAGGTAGATTATGTTTGAACTGTTGCAGGATAGAAACACGCCGAACATGTCGCTCGTGTGATTGAGACGAATCTGAAGTGGTCACGGCATTGCACAGCAATCACGTCCTGAATTCTGGCATGCAGAGATATCGGCCAACGCGCTGTAGTAGAATGGGAAGAATATTTGTTTAAGCGTCGGATCGACGGGTCAAATAAATCAAATTCTGAGATAAAGTGAGTCCAGAATCGATGCCTCGAGTCCAGCTACGTACTACTTTACCGCTTTTTAAAGTAATATCAGGTTTTGAAATTCGAATTCCGGTAGACGGGTTGATCCATAAACCTGAAGGATTTTGTTCAAAAAGTGGACATAGGTATCGTAAGAAAGCTCTGCTGATATTTTTGTAGAACCAAGTCTTGACCAAGTCGATGACATTGTCATTCACACCTATTCGTACGCCTGGACAAGGTCTGGGGTCCCGAATATGCGACTCGTCTGCCATTGGCTCCGACTTGATGGCCGAAATCTCACTCTCTGCCGCAAGTCGCCAGTGTCATATTTCGAACACGAGTCTAACGACTTTCAGAACGATATCATTCGTCGCGCCATCCACCTTTCCATGGACACACAGTCCAGAGGGATATTTATCTCCCCGACATCCGTCCTCCTTCCTTGTCATATCGATGCAGCATGTATTCCCCCGGACTAAGTCCTCTCGGTTCACTATACGCCTCCTCCGGATACACTGAGTCCTCCCTTTTCAGCATACAGAGATATAAATGATCTACGTACCTGGTTTTTCTGACACTGTGAGTGTCGTGGAGGTTGATAAGTCGCATTTGATCTATAAGCGATCAGTTCTTGAATTGCACTTCGGGAAAGACGTCGAACTCGAACGTCGCCGACGCGACATCCTCCAGTGTGAGCTGGACATGTACAGCCACCTCCATGGATCACCTTATGTTCTCCCTATCATTGGCCTTGTCGAAAGAGTTCGACACTTCGTTGTTTACGACGATCCATATGACAAAGATGCTTCCGTAACTGACGAATTTCTCATTCCCTTCGCCGGGATGTTCTGCCAATGGTGTCCTGGATTTCGTACCGAATGGACCATGGAGGAGAAGGAGTATCTAGCTCTCACACTCATGAATGCTGTGCTTGACTTTGAGCAGCGTGGAGTTTATACAACAGACTTAAAGGCCCCAAATATTCTCCTCAGAGTTTGAAAATCATTGACTTGGACTTGGAGACACATTGGGATATTCCAGATGGGGCGTCGAGAGCGGCAATGCGGTTTATACATTGTATAACATGGCTATGGCAATGCAGGAGCTCTTCTTGTCTGGTATCACGTACGCCATCCATTGTGAAGAGGCCGTTCCCAAACCTTTCATTCAGCTCATTGATTGGTGCCTGGAGGATGCCTTTGGTTCTGTCGCAGAGATGATGGCAAAGACGGCATCGATGCTAAAGCCCACCCGCGGCAGAGCTAAGAATATGTCGGTTTTTACCTTGGCTGAAGCACGGTTGCTGCGATTCAAATCGCTTGCGAAGTCGGAGGATGAATGGCGGTTTGGACGAACATATAATTCCAACCTGGAAAGATATTGGCCTATGTTGCCTAGGTATTTTGAAGTCCTTCATCTCCAATTTGTGTCTCATTTTTCACCTCGTTTGCATCTAGGGACTTTCGTCGCAAATGCGCCTTGTGGGAGTAAAGTCTGTCTCTTTCGCTATGCAGAGAAGCCTCAACCATGCGGGGTCATGGTGGTTAATGATTCTATCATTAACGGGTATACTCGCTGCGAAGCTCAGATCCAGCCTAACCAGGTCATCGAAGTGACACCGGGCATCCTTTACCCAGGGCACTGCCACATACGTTCCGACGAATACGAGAGACATACTGTCTTTCTTCATTACCTCGGTGTGGGGGGGAAGTGGAAGGAAGTATTTCTCTTCCCACCAGCGGACGGTATCGATAAGAAAACCTACTCTGATAACAGCATTGTTCCCCAACCTCCATTCATCCTTCGTGAATCTTTCGAGAACATGTCATCGACTGTCCAACCTCTTCCTCCCAAAATCCAATGGCAACGCAAGGATCCTGACTCACCACCCTCCCGAAGGGGCCCGAGGTCTATTTTAATCAGTGACAGAATACGGTTTCACTCGAAGGACACCATTCAGAACCGTTTGAAAAATCCTTTCTACTGCCAGCGACATGCTGCAGAAGTGGCTTATTCCTCTCCGGAACACCCATTCTGGGTTCAGAACGAGAATCGTTTTCGGTAAGCCGTCGACTATTCATGTATCATACAACATGCCAGACCACACACGATAACTATTCGAGCCTAACCCTCCTCGCCCTCTGCCACCTCCTCCCCTTCCTGTATCAGGCTACACAGTTCGAAATCAGGCAATTCATGCTGCCGGTCAAAGTGGCATGCAAAACATGATGATATCGAACAGTGATGTCTTCCAAGTACCACCTCATCATGTTGGAGTCAATCCCAGTTCCTATAACCAGTTCCTGCAGCACCGATAACACATCAATCCTATGAGCTCTCAGGGACAGTTTCATTCCTCCTCATCCTACGATAATTCACAACAAGCTACATCTCGTACTGCGACATCAGCCCCATTCAACAACTCACCGTATCTTCGGCATCATCCCCATGCTGGCCAGGGAGTTCAAACACGATGGCATTCGCTCTTGACGCCTCTCATGACCCAGATCGTACTCCGACAACAAGACGAGTCTTGCCGATCCATCCTCACACTCCACCAAGGCATGAAACTTCTGCCTCTAGCCCGACAAATCCTCAGGGAACATCTGGACTGTGTAGGCCTCCTCCGAGCTAAGCCACTTGCCGATACTTTGAATTGTGTCTTTCAGTGGATATGATCTTTCCTCTTCCCGTTTCTGTTTCTCTCTCTCTCTTCTCAGTCTCTAGTTATGCATACCTCTTCTACCTCATCTGCTTCCTCTTCCTGCTTTGTTGAACCGCCTTGGCTATTTTCTGCACACGACATATGATAATCTTAGAGGCCGCTCCACACATTGGACGGTACGTTATCATCCGTCGTTAACATATCTGGGAATATGCACGAGGCTTGAATATCTGTCGCAATTACTGCTGGCAGCTGAGTATTCGTGTTGCCTGGCACGCAGAGATCCAGTAACGTTAGTTACTTGAACTATTCTCTGTTATTTGGTTTCGTATCAAGCTAAATAGTGACGTTCATATCTGCAGGTTCATTAATGATCATGATGTTCGTTCAGGTTCGCGTCCAGTCGCATGGATCTGGGCAACCTTTGTCTTAAAGTTACCGTTGGATTCTTTTCCACGACAAACGCCTTACCTAAATGTTCAGACTGGCAGCCGTTGAATGCCGGAGAGATCGGGTGATGCGGTTCAAGCACTGTAAGATGGCTGTAACAATCAAGGAGTTCTTCCTGCTTGGTATTTCACGAAGGCGCCACCGCGGAACGTTGAAACAAGGAGGACACACTTAACGTCAAGCCTGTTGGTTGAAGCAAGACTGTCATGGTTCAAGGAGCACGTCAAAGTATTGAGACCTACGAACAGATGGTGACTCGCACAGTCATTTAACCGCAGGCTCAACTACTGTATGCCATGGACGACCAGATAAGAATCCAACGTAATCTGGAGTTGACATTGAGTGCCTCTGACTGAACCAGCAAGCTAGTCAAGGGTCTATGACAGACCCTTTGTTTTTCTATAGCACGATTGTCACAGATAGCAGCAGAAGGCTTGACGGGAGGGCACCTTGATACTTATAAATAATACACAAACGAAAGCGACATGCGAAGCCAAAAACCAAGCAACTGAGTCGATTCCAGCACAACCCTATAGTTAAAAAATGCGAGAAACCGACTGGCTTCAAGGGTACGCAAGTGTCTGAAAAGGTATCAATTCAACATATCATCATTGTTCGGATGATTCCTCATTCGTAGGTATTAAAGCAGCGGGGTTAGCAGTCCCACTGGCTGCAGTAGTCGCAGCTGCATCCGCGGAATCATTCGACGCTTGTGTCGACCTGGCCGCCTTGACCGCCTCGATCGTCTTTTTGAGCTTCTCGAGATCTGCACGATACTCCAGCAATTCCTAAAGATACGTCGATGAGAGACATCGAGAAGAAAGCGAAATAACGCACCTTGTTGTCCGGCTCGTACGTCAAACCAAAGGCAACGGCGTCCTGGGCTTCTTCCAGTCTAAGAAGTCCTCTCAGCGCCTTCGCCTTTCTCAGATGACCCTTGGCCCAGTTTTTTCGTATCTGGATGACAGCCTCCGCATCAGCCAGTGCCGATATCCAATCATGTGCGCCAGCAAACGCCGCAGACCGGTTCGACAGCACCGTCGAGAGCTCCTCCCTCAGTACATTATTGTTCTCCCACGACGCACGTTGGCATGCTACTCCTGCTGCCATCGTGTACCGCTGCACAGCTTGTGGATACAGTTGCAGCTTATACAACTGATTGCCCTCCTCCTTCACGGCGTTCACTGCGCCCGACAATTGCTTGTTCACGATCTGCCCTGGAGGTGGGGCTTTGATGTTCGGGTTCTGTGTGAGCAGTCTTGAGAGGATATTAGTTTTGGAGAAGTCGACATCGCAGTCAGCACAGACAGCGAGAGAATGAGGTGCGCAGAGGAGAAGGTTGGCGTCAGTAACAGTGAGGTCGACGGGCGAGAATTGCGCGTCGATGAGAGCTTGCAAGACGGGATCAGGTGGAGGAGGGACAGGTCGCTGCTGCTGTTGCTGAGGCGCGTGCGAGTGCGAATGGGTCTCGCCCGGAGCGTGTGTGTGTGAGTGGGACATGGAAGACTGAAAGACGGTTAATGTCGTGTCCAAAACGGGTTGCTGCCACGTACGGTGACGTATATGGCCAAAACGGGCTACAGGTTGCCGCCGGATGGCGGGACAACTAAATACGGTATCCCGGCAGAATGGTCAGCCTTGATATATTTATCACTTCAAAACAATTTTTCTACAGCGCCCCCCTGGGCATTGTCAGGTAGCTCGGCTTTCTGTCGATTACAATCAATGATGCATATGCATGGTGTTTCCTCGGACCAAAATGAAGTATCCTAATGACGTGCCTTCACTCAAAATTGCTTTATACAGAAACCTTCCCTTGGTCGCAGCGATAGTATAATTGGTATATCACTTGATGGGTTCCAGTCTTGCCAATGCCAGGGTGACATAGAGAACTAGGATGATGTCAAGAATTCATTATCATTACCATCACCTTTACATGCCTGTTCCTCGCCCGTCGCGCACGGCCCACGTACTGCTTCAAATGCTCCGATGATGAACTAGATGGAATCAACGCCTTGGCAAACACAGCCACGTTCACGTGATCGGAGCATCAAATTTTACATTTGTTTGTCAGCGCTTTTCTTCTCTTCACTCCCACTTTGTGGTTCATATCCCTTTTCTTTCGCACTCTCATAATATGACAAATGCAATCGTAAACGGCCCCTCGTCTGGTCTCGAGGGCAAATTCTCTTCCTTGGACATCAACAAGTCGGCGTACGTCCCTCCTCATCTTAGGAGCTCCCAGCGAGCGTCGTCTTCTCCCAACCTTCATCAGAACAGGCAAGTTTTATATTTTTCTTCTTTTTTACTCTCATTTCTCATCGTTCTTCTAGCTTTGGAAACGGCTGGAACGATTCCCGCTCAAGTACTCCGAATTCTACTCGTTTGTACACCGCCAGACCCTCCCGTGGAGGGCCTCCGCAATCGCAAAGCCGTGACTGGTCGCAGCCCTCGCAGCCTCGTGATACTTTTGGCCTTGGAGTATGGAAAGATGGTCGTCATGTTGTTGGTGGACGTAACATGCGCCTCGAAAAAGAGCTTTTTGGTGACCCGACGGATCCCTCCAAGCAGCACACCGGTATCAACTTTGAAAAGTACGATGATATCCCCGTAGAAGCGACTGGTGCTTCGGTTCCAGACCCAGTTGTTGCCTTCACTTCACCCCCTCTCGACGTAGTCTTGCTCGAAAACATCGGCTATGCCAGGTACACTACCCCTACCCCTGTTCAAAAGTATTCTATTCCCATTGTTGCTAATGGACGGGATCTCATGGCCTGTGCTCAGGTAGGATCTTTTTTCGTGCTGATGGATCATTTTCTCAATGATTGCTTGTACAGACAGGCTCCGGTAAAACAGGCGGTTTCCTTTTTCCCATCCTTTCCGCATCCTTCCATGATGGACCCCGTGCGCCTCCTGATCAACCGTCATCCTACGGTCGGTCCCGAAAGGCCTATCCTACGGCTCTTATTTTAGCGCCTACTCGTGAATTGGTGTCTCAGATCCATGAGGAGGCTCGCAAATTTGCTTACCGGTCTTGGGTTCGTCCTGCCGTCGTCTACGGTGGCGCCGACATCAACCAACAGCTTCGCTCCATTGAACGTGGCTGCGACCTGTTGAGTGCCACACCCGGTCGTCTCGTTGATCTTATCGAGCGTGGCCGTATCAGTCTCGCCAACATCAAGTATCTCGTCCTTGATGAGGCTGATCGCATGCTTGACATGGGTTTCGAACCCCAGATTCGTCGCATCGTGCAGGGCGAGGATATGCCTGGCGTTCTCGAGCGCCAGACCCTCATGTTCAGTGCGACATTCCCGAGGGACATCCAAATCCTTGCCAAAGACTTCCTGAAGGATTACGTGTTCTTGAGCGTTGGTCGTGTTGGAAGCACTAGCGAGAACATCACCCAAAAGATCGAGTATGTTGAGGATAATGACAAGAGAAGTGTCTTACTCGACATCTTGGCTTCTCAGAGCAAAGATTCCGGTAATCTGGGTCTGACATTGGTCTTCGTCGAGACGAAACGTATGGCGGATATGTTAAGCGACTTCTTGATGGGTAATCATCTTCCCGCTACATCCATTCATGGTGATCGCACCCAGCACGAGCGCGAGATGGCTTTGCAAACGTTCCGAACCGGCCGGACGCCTATCATGGTGGCTACTGCTGTCGCTGCCCGTGGCCTTGACATCCCCAACGTCACTCACGTTGTCAACTATGACCTTCCGAGCGACATCGATGACTACGTGCACCGTATCGGCCGTACTGGACGTGCTGGGAACACCGGTGTCAGCACGGCCTTTTTCAACCGTGGTAATAGGAACATCGTCAAAGAGCTTGTAGAGCTTCTTAGGGAGGCCAACCAGGACATTCCGAACTGGTTAGAGACAGTCGCACATGAGGCTACGTTTGGTAGCGGTGGAGGATACCGAGGAAGCAGAGGCAGAGGTAGAGGAGGTCGGGGCAATGCCGGCCGTGATTACAGGGCTGGCGGCGGCGGCAGCAGCAATGCTGGTTATGGCGGAGGATACGGCGGAGGTGGTTATGGTGGTGGTGGTGGCTACGGTGGCCGTGCTCAATACGGGGGAGGAGGTTACAGTGGTGGCTATGGCGGTGGCTCCACTGGAGGCGGAGGAGGCCAAGGCTGGTGGTAAATCTCTTCGAGGCGCCACCTTTAACGACGACGACGATCACCATCCACACCTAAAAATCACATAATGCCCTCGTACCCCTTTTTTATTATGCTTTCATGCCTTCCATGCCGACGAACGAATGCACCCCATGCAGAACTCATGCGCTATCTCTACTTGTATATCTATCACGAATCATTCCCCCCCAAAAATCCGTCCGACTTAGGTTACTTACACCCTCTCCTTAATGCTACGGCGACGGACCGTAACGGTATATCGGTAGACATTCACGCCCCCCAGATACCCCACAAGTACAAGTGCTTTTCGACTGATATACCCCATCGCAGACGGTTTTTTACACACATAATTAGAGATACTTAGAGTAGAGAATTAAAGGGTGTTTTTTGTACTTTGTATCGTTTGTCTTTTTTCTGTTGCTAGTTCGTAGTTCATAGTAATTCTATATGTGAAAGTCGTCGTTTATCTTTTGAGTGTGCTGCCTGAAGCCCAAGTAACCTTCATTGTTGGTGTTAGGTGAAATGCCTCTGTTTTGGATTCAGAATTCTGAGTGGTTAAAACTGACAGGGATTCTCGCCGAAATTCCCAAAGTCTCTCTTCAGTCCCGAAAAAAAGCCTTATGTACAACAGTGAGAATACTCTCAAGATGTCCTCATCCCTAAGAACTCCTCCATATTAGCCATGTATGTTCCGAAATCGTTATATTCCTCTGAATCACTTCTTTCCGACGACGAAGGCACATATATACCTAGTCCCAATGAGCATGGAAGACCGGATCAATAAACCAAACAACTTACCGGATAACCCTAGGCTATCGACTCCTGCAGCCATCATAAATTCATCCAACGACGAAGTGTTCAAGGTCGGATATCCGAAAGCTTGATCCCCCATCATTAGTTCACTAGTATGCAATGGTAAAGTCCACTCCTCTGTGGTTCCTACGGGGATGGTCCCCAGGTCCAAGGGGAAGCTTTGTTCATCACCTGCGTCGCGTCCACGTTTCTTAGTCGGCTCGTCGACTGGATCGGTAGGAACATTACTCTCGTAAAGTTGTAGAGTGATATCACTTTTTTTTTGGCGTCAGCAAAGAAGAGTCGACGTTTTCAGCGAAGCACGTACTAATACCGCCCCGCGACGAGATACCTATCCTCATATTTACGCAGGACGTTCATACATTTGAACACGTCTTCCATTGCTCTGCTTGGATTCGTCGATAGACCTAAGCGTTTCCCTCCCCAGAGATTCAGAAGGAGCACCAGAGCCGAATGAAATACCGCCACCAGTAGATTTGGAACCGCAAGCGTTCTAGTCTTTGCATGGATATCAACGATGTGGCTGCATGACCTTGCAGCGTTGGCACAGATAGAAAGAGAAGGGAATCCGCTGTTTAGCTTTTCCGGGCTTTTGTTGACATTGGGACTCGGCAAGAACCTCCGATGAACCTGCATCTGAACCCAGTAATACGTAGAGTAGAGGAGCGCAGATTGGTCAAAGTGATATTGATTGGACTTGAGTGGATCCCAACGCACTGTAATAAAGTTAGCGTGAATATCTTATCTGAATGAGGTGCTTACAATAATCAGGAATAGAATCTATCCATTTGTTGAGGGCTGAGTCGAGTTCGACAGCAATATTCTGGTGCCATTCGGGAGTAGATATCGCGTCCCAGTATACGGAACGCTTCACAGTGTACTGTACTTGTCGTTGAGTGAAAATGATATTACAGGAACGGAATAGCTCACGATGGTTATCTGTGCAAAGCTAAGGATATCCAGGAGTTTGATATGGAGAATCCATGCTTTCACGTCTGCAGGTTTGTGAGAAGGCTGGGTCCATGGATGTTCCCGGTCGGCTAGGACTTCCCCTGGCCAGTAGTCTTCATCCACTTCCAAGGGAAGTTCCAGGTCGAAGCTGCAGAGAGGCTTCATCAATGGAAGTGTGAAGAGGACTAAGGATGTACTCACTGCTCCGAAGTCGTTGCCCTTGGTTTCCCAACAAATGAACTAACGAAGACATCTGTGATAACCAGAGCCCAGAAGATTCTTTTCCATAGCTCATCTTCAATCGTCCACTCTTCCAAAGGCTTAACACGCTTCCTATGCGCCCCGACGTCCTGAGCTAACCGTACGCCTGCTCCGATGAGAACAAAGCTTGCTTCAGGCGTCGTTGTTCCGTACAGGAACAAGACCATCAAAGGATACAATTGCAGCTCCCATAATGTTGCGGGAGTAGAGAACCTCGACAGGTGTATAGACCGCAATTGAATATACCACTCCCATCCAGCTTGAGCCAGTGGTCCGACACGAGGATCATCCGAGTGTCGTGAGGCAACTGCGCATACCCCAAGAACGAGGCTACCAAAATTACGGGATGAAAGATGCGTTCCTGCTGCAATCTCGCGACGGAACGTAGGACCATGTAGAATGAAGAAATGTGCGTTCGTCGTGGTGAGGAAAAGGGAGACGAGATGATCTAAAAGGTCTGGAGGGGGAAATCTGAGAGGAGGCAAGTTTTCTGAAGTTGGACGTTGCCATGGGTAAACCGTCCAGAAGCGGGGTCGGCGAAGATCAAGATATGAAGTGACCGGTGGGGAGTTACTGTAAGCATTCTTCATCTCTATGGCGCTCTTTATGAGCATCATACCACTTGATCTACCGAAATGTCGAACATCGCTTGTACTGATGGTAAAGCGGCTAAGCGCGTCAACAAAACTAGAGTCATCGACTTCGTCATCGTCAGAAGGACTTTCAGCTGTCTGGGTTGTTTGTGGAGTGGCTGAAGGTAATGAAGTAAGGCTCTTGGCTACAGCGAGATCGGATTCAAGCTGCCGTACGTAGCACGCGAGGTCGACTAGGATCGCACGAACGAGAGTGTGGTCATTGGGAACAAGATAAGGTGTAGTGTCCGAGAGGATCGCATTGATGTGGACTTGAAGGTCATTCTTAACAGTTTCGTGTTGGTCATATGCGACAGGGCCCATTCGACCCTATGTAGTTTTAATCATTGAATAACAGGGACCATGGGTTGACGAACATACGAACTTTAGCCGTCGCAGCGATATGCGTACATTCCGAACCGAAAGCTATACAGTTAGAGCATTTATTTCCCGGCATATTTGCGCTGTCGCCTGATATCATAAAAGAACGGTGTCTCCTAGCGCATTGGTCAGAACTTACACCGAACTGATATACCATCAGCGTTGGCACCCGGTAAGAAAGAATACGCACTTTTCCTTTGCCTACAAGTGTCGCAGGCACCTTGTAAGCGTCGTTTTTTAGAACGTGGCACAGTGGGCCGTTGAGATGATTCCTTTTTGAACATGGCAGTTCAGGTGAAGGTACCAGGGACGGACACTGCCGCGATACATAAGCTACGATAACAAAAACAGTGATCAACTTTGGATTTGGGTTCCTTGAATTCGTTTGAAGCACATTAGAGTGACACCAAGGCCGCGTAAAGCCTTCAAGTGAATTGCTTCTGCCGTGAGGAAAGTATTAAAAATTCGAGGGGAAGGGCCGGGCCGCCTGGGCCGTTTTTGAATCTTGACTTCCAACCTTCATCTAACTGTCGCCGTGTCCTTGTACTATTACCAAGGAACGTACGCTTCCTCAGAGCGCGAAATTTATACAGAGGATGAAACAGGGCAGACGTTGCCCTGGTGTGATCTTGGCATAATCAGATTTTCAGTATATGGCAGTGCTATCAGCTACAGTCCTTCCCCCACACCATGTCTGAACCTGGAGGATCGACCCGCCCAATGCCCTCCAAGCAACGCCGTCTGCAAGGCGCCTGCGACATATGCAGGCATAAAAAGAGTGAGTATATGCTTGCTTGTCTGAACATATCAGCGCGCTAATCAGGAGCAGTTCGATGTGAGTGAATAATGGGCGTCATTTAAGCCTAAAGAAGTTAATGCTCTAGATGCTAGGCGACAGTGCAAATATGCCGGGGAACAAATGCTCGAACTGCGTAGCATTTGGTTCGGAATGTACACACATTGCTGCCATGGCCAAGAAGGTTGGCGCAGACTTGGACTATCTCATTGTTCTCTTCCGAATAACTGTTGTATAGGATCGGATACGTATGCATTATCATCCTCCATCTATTCCGACTCTACAGACGGACCTACAAGCCCATATCAATGCTATTCTCTCATCAAGTGCGCCCTACAACGTTCCCGATACCCACACCCCAATCCTAGTGACCCTTGCGCGCTATGTACGGCAACTTGAGGCCGAGCTTTCTGCGGCCAAGAATAATGCATTGCCGTCTTCTGTGTCCCCTTTTTCCGGCGGCAGCACTGACCCTGCCTCCTCTGACGAAGAACCTGAGAGTCATGAGTTGACTGATGCTCTACGTCGCTTTACCATCAGTGGCCGAAACTGGAGTGGAAATTTTGGTAAATCTAGCGGTATGATGCTCATCAAGAGTACCATCGAGATGAAGCTTGCATATGATAAGTCTGCACTTACAACTTCAACCTTTCGCCGACCCCAGTTCTGGACAATCCATCCATGGCAGCTTCCGATGCCTGAGGACCTTCCCCCTCTTAGGTTTCCTCCTCCCGACCTCCTCGATCATTTCGTCTCCCTTTTCCTCAGCACAACAAACCTGCATCTCTGCCTCCTTCATGGTCCTACATTCCGCCGTCAGATAGCCGCTGGAACGCATTTCATATCGCGTAATTTCGGAAACCTTGTGCTGGGAATATGTGCATATGCATCTCGCCACTCGGACGATCCTCGTGTCGGACCTCTGGATCAAGCTGGATGGGAGTGGTATCTTCAGCTACGACCTATCCATATATCGAAATTCTCAAATCTGACGACGCTCTGGGAAATTCAGCTTTTGCCGCTGATAGTTTTGTTTTTGTACGGAACAACGTCACCTCAGGCTTGTTTTGTACTCATTGGTTTGGGGATTCGAATGGCCCAACATGTTGGAGCCCACAGGAAACGCCATGCGACTCTCAAAGAATGGACAGTAGAGGATGAACTATGGAAGAGAGTATTTTGGGTGTTGGTGTGCGTAGATGTGTTCATCTCCTCCTTCGACGGAAGGCCACGAGCAACAACTTCAGAGAAGTCAGTGTTTCATATCGATATTTTCCGTGATGACCTGTTGCCTCATCATGTCTTAGCTTTGATTTAGACTATCCTCTGGAAGTGGATGATGAACGTTGGCCAGGAGAGCCACTTGCTGACCCTGAAAATCCATGGACTCAACCATCGGACAAACCCGCTGATGTCGTGCCATGGATATTAATCATTAAACTGCTGGATATCCTCAGTTTTGCCCAAGTAACAATCGTTCGTCTGTTTTCATTTCTCAAGTTACTACCGCTTATATGAAGTGTAGTATTCAATTAAACGCTCTGAATATTGGGATACAATATCGACATCCGAATGGCATGAGAACATCGCCGTCGAACTAGATTCTGCTCTGAATAAATGGATAGACTCTATACCTGATTATTGTGCATATTCTCCTCTATCTGACTCTCAATGTCACTGAAGCAATCACAGTACGTTGGGATCCCCACAATCCAGACCAAAAACAGTTGGATCGATCTGTACTTCTGTACTCCACGTATTACTGGGTGCAGCTGCAGGTTCATCGACCATTTCTTCCGCGCCCTAGTGCGAAGAAGAGCTCTGGAAAGTTGAAGAGAAACTTTCCCGCCCTTGCAATATGTGCCAATGCGGCAAGATCATGTAGCCATATCCTAGACATACACTCAAAAAGAGGAGGAATGGTCTTGCCTAATATCTTGATATCTGCTTTCCAGTCAGCTCTGGTTCTGCTACTGAACCTCTGGGGTGGGAATCGCTTGGGACTCTCAGTGAATCCCGCAAGAGAAGGGGAAGATATCAAGAAATGCCTCTCTGTGCTAGGTGGATATGAGTCTCGATATCTCGTTGCAGGACGATATCGGCAAGTCTTCCCATTTTATTCGTCTGTGTTGGACTCTGATTCACGGTTATAGTGACATCATATGCGAGTTGTTTGAGAATGGCGGTCCAAATGGTCCAGGCAGTCAACCTGAACAGAATAACAAGCGTGCTCGTGATGACAAGGAAGAAGAATACTTTAATTTTTCTTCTGAAGCGAATGCCAGTGATTGGATGCCACCACTTCACACCACCGAGCTGATGGGCGATTGGCAATTCCATCTGCAAGAGAATGCCGGTTTCTTTGAAGAAGCGCCGTCCTTTTCGTTGGATGATTATATGTCGGCGATGGGAGTCGGAGAGGGAATCCGGGTACCTTCAGGCGAGCTGGCTTCTTTTTTTGCTGCTTTTGATACTAAGATTAATCACACGTATCCATAGATGCTCAAGCTATCACTCTGGGGGATGATGATGGCTGGCAAGATTTCGGAATGTACATAACTAACATGGATGAGTTCTTAGGAATGAGGTAGCAGAACGCCTCGTTAGAGCCTCAATCAAATTTCTTCTTGGTTTCCGTCAGCAACGTCGTGTATTTAAGAGAGGCACGTAAATTGACTCCGAGTCGGAATAGGTACGCAGCTCCGCCGAAGCCGTCCGTACGCGTTAGCACGGCAGACGGCTGTGGCAGTGTCGTAACCCGGTGCCCCTGAACTCAACTACCATGGCGAGAGACGAAAGCACTGAACCGCCAGCACCTGGTTCGAAGAAAAGGCGTTTACAGGGATCGTGCGATATATGCCGGCAACGAAAAAGTGAGTGAACTGCGCCATCATCTTAGACTATAAATAAAGCTTGATTTTTCAGTACGATGTAAGTGTGCCTATGACGCCAATTCCGAAGACGCTATCTCAACAAATTATTAGGCGATAGTGCAAATATGCCAGGTGGTAAATGCTCGAATTGTATAGCATTCAGTTCTGAATGCACACATGTGGCAGCGACGACCAAGAAGGTGTGTATTTACCTATCCAGCTGATTTAACAATCAACTCATACCGGTCTTCTCTGCAGACCAGAAGACGAAGGACCAAAGTAAATGGCACTATTTTATCCCCGAGAGACGATCTTCAAGTCCATATCAATGCTATCCTTTCCACAACCACAAATTATATCGTTCCCAATGATCCTACTCTCGTGCGCACCATCCTAGTTGATTTGGCGCAATATGTACGCCAACTTGAGGCAGAACTTGCCGCGACACGACAGAATCATTCACGCAGTTCATCTAAATCAATGTCTCCCAAAGACGCCGAGCCAAAATCTGATTTTGACGAAGATGAAGATGATCAGGAAGACAACAGCATTTATCTCACCGAACCATTGAATCGACTCACCGTCAGCCAAAGTCGCACACGTCATTATGGTAAATCGAGCACGATAATGCTTGTAAAAACAGTCATTGACTTGAAAAGCGCAACCTCTTGCACTTCGACGTTTCTTGACAACCGGCGGCCAGTATTCTGGAAGGTTCATCCGTGGCAACATCCGGTTACGGGTCCCTCACCTCCCTTGGTGTTCCCTCCTCCAGACCTCATTGATGATCTCGTCGACCTCTACTTGTCTACCACTAACCGCAGTATATGTATCATACATGGTCCCTCCTTCAAGCGCTCCATCGCTTCAGGGTTACACCTCACTTCCTCCACGTTTGGCAGTCTTGTTCTAGGTGTGTGTGCTCTTGCATCCCGTTCTTCGAATGATCCTCGGGTAGGAGAAGGACACAGCGCTGGCTGGCAATGGTACTTGCAGCTCCGGATCAATCCCCCGAACGCATACTCCTCGCCGCCGACGATTTGGGATCTTCAACTTCTACCACTTATGACTCTCTTCTTGTGTGGTTCGTCCACTCCGGAACCTATCTGGCTCTTGACGGGCGTAGGCATCCGTATGGCTCAGGACGTCGGAGCGCACCGGAAACGAGTTGTCAAAGAGTGGGGGGTGCAGGATGAGCTATGGAAGCGAGTTTTTTGGGCATTGGTAATGCTTGACACTTTCGTTACTACCATGTGTGGGAGGCCTAGGGCGACGCATTCCGAGCAGTGCGTGTCGTAATTATATACCTATCTTCCGCTTACAAAGTTATGTGTGTAGGTTTGATGTGGATTATCCTCTGGAAGTTGATGACGAATACTGGCCTGGGGAGGAATTAGCCGATCCTAAAAATCCGTGGACTCAACCGAGAACCAAACCGGCGATACCAACAGCCTGGGTCATACACCTAAAATTACTTGATATCTTGAATACCGCCCAGATGACAATTGTATGTTTATCTCTCTGTGTCGCATCTGCTTAATCTCACGAGGCGAGCAGTACTCCGTTAAACGCCCAAAACAATCGGAAGCGCTTCCAGCGGCGGAATGGGAACAAAACATGGTCATCACACTTGATTCTGCACTGAACAGCTGGATCGACCAACTTCCCGATCATCGTACGTTCGTTGAACATTGATCTGCGTTCGTCTGACGACCTTTATTAGTGAGATGGGACCCTCAGAATATGAACGGCACATTTCTCTGCCAGGCCGCCTCATTATATTCATCCTATTATTGGATTCAGATGCTCGTGCATCGTTCGTTTATGCCACGAGTACGCGGGCCCGGGAAAGGGAAGTCTAACGGAAACTTTCCTTCCCTTGCTATCTGCACCAATGCTGCACGATCTTCTTGTCATATGGTAGAAGTGTTTTGCAAGAAAGGAGGCTTACCAGTAATACCAAACATCTTGGTACGTCTCCTGTTGTCCTATCCTCTTATGATTACCGCTGTTTACAATCGAGAATTAGCCTGCAGCGTATCAGTCTGCTGTTGTGCTGGTCCTTCATGTGTGGAGCGGAAAACGTCTTGGTTTATCCACAAACATTGTGCGTGAGATGGAGGATATCCACAAATGCATGGCGGTGATGAGCACATATGAGGCCCGGTATCAAGGAGCTGGTCGATATTAGTAAGTCTCATGCCACGCATCGTATTTGATGTTAATACTTTTTGAATAGTGACGTTCTTCGTGAACTTGCTGAATTTGACGTCCCGGCGATGTGTGCGGATGTAGGAACCAGCGAGGCGAGGAAACGCCCGAGAGAAGAGACTGGGGACGAAGGCGACTATGGAGATGTACCGTTCAACACGCTAATAAGCTCAAATGGAGCGGAATGGGCGTTTCCAATGGACGCTACTGAGGTGTTGGAGAGTTGGCAAAGGCATGAACCTCACTCCTACGCGCTGGATGATTATATATTTGGCGCCGGCTTTGGAGGGATAAATGCCTTGGGAACGGGAGACGGTGCAACCAGTCAGTCTATGTATCCATAGTAGTATTTTTTTTTCTGACATATCACACATAGGTGACTTGAGTTTGATGCCAGATGCAGATTATGGATGGCAGAACTTGGAGACGCATCTGCCCAATATTGACTCATTCATTGTCAGCCAAGCAAGCATTTAAATATCCATATATCACAATCAATACCAACCTTTGTAGCCATTATGAACTCTTAATCACAACTTGAATATCTATGTATTTTGGTGGTCCAATGATAATTGGCAGATAACGAGAGACCTGAAATAACGAAGGATATATCTCTCTCCTATTCTATTTACTCGCTTGTCGTGAACATGCCCGGCAGCTGACTGCAAAGTATCGGTAACTTCCGTGAAACTGTACATACCTGTATTTGCCGATCTCGGCACCAAACTTTGTCCGTATTTGGAAGCCCACCAAAGTTTCACGACACCCACGAACACTAACCTCAAAAATGGCTCAACAACGCGGTACGGCCGTCGTTCCAAACTCTTCATTATATTCTGACATGGTTTCCTTTAGTCGGAGCGTCTGGTAACAAATACCGTTTGACCCTCGGTTTGCCCGTGGGTGCGGTCCTCAACTGCGCCGACAACAGTGGGGCGAAATCCCTCTTTATTATTGAGCCATATGGATTCGGATCGCATCTGAACCGACTTCCTGATGCTGGTGTTGGTGATATGGTCGTTGCATCTGTGAAGAAGGGAAAGCCCGAGTTGAGGAAGAAGAGTACGTGGTGGAATTTTATTGTGGGTCGAGGAAATCTAATAGATGTTCCAGCTATGCCTGCTATTGTTGTCCGCCAACGGAAAGCTTGGCGTCGGCGGGATGGTGTTTTCCTCTACTTTGAGGTGCATTTTTCATTGATCTTCAATGATTCTTGTGGATTCTAAAAGCTGAACATGCAGGACAATGCTGGCGTTATTGTAAACCCCAAGGGTGAAATGAAAGGATCTGCTATTACTGGTCCTGTTGCGAAAGAATGCGTATGTCGTGCCCTTCTACCCAACATTTATTCCTCTGATTTTTGTTCAGGCGGATCTCTGGCCGCGTATCGCAGCCAATGCCGGTACAGTGGTATGATTTGGAGCATGTCGGTCGCAGTCCCTCTTCTGTTATTGCTGTAATATGCCTACATGATACCGCAAAATCCATATTGCATGCCTCCAATCCCGTGAGCTCTCAAGTTGTCCGTTTGTTGCAGTATGCTGTAATGCGACATCTTCTCATAAACGAACCAATACCTAAACGACTAGTGAGTGTCTGCTAGGCCGTTGCGTCTCGCTCTTGGCCAATTCCAAGAAGCATTGCGGAATATGGACAGGCGATGTGAGCAATTTCGAGACGATGGTTTGGGGCTGGGACATGGAGTTATGAGTAGAAGACACAGGAAAGTGTAAGGAGAGGACATACGATGGGTATGAGCCTAGAAGGATGGCCCTTATTCTCGTAATCATCATCATTTGAATCGCGAACTTTGGAATCGTCTTTATTCACGCCAGTGACCCATTCTGAAATCCTGTACTCGTCGACAGGATTTCGGTGATAGAACCATGATGATATTGTGTGTCTGCATCCGACGGAATGAACCGAGAGTCGATGTCGTCTTCGTCCTCTTCGTCCGTATTCAGATTGGCTTTGAAATTGACGAACCTCGTATTTGCATCTTCGTCTTCGTCATCCAACATCACGACGTCTGTGTTTTCATCTGGCGGTTCAATAGGTGCATCAGGAAGGGATCTGTCGACTGATGAAGGATTTTTGTCCACCCTCACAATAGAAAAATTGGCTGCCCATGTGAACGAAATCCCGTGTCTGCTTCTGACCATCCATGCTCAAAGATAGTTTTATCTTCTTTGCCGCGCAAGGCTTCCGAAACTCTACGTGACAGAGTGAAATCCTTTACCTTGCTGTCCTGAGATGACGAAAGAAGGTCTCATACCACACACGCCTCACCTTCCTCTTCGTCTTCAGCAGACGGACGTTCATCTTCAACGAATGCCGTGTTCATTTCGTCTTCGCCTACTTTATGGCCATCACCACCCAGGTGAAGGAGATACCACTTCCCTCGGAAAGGACGAAACCGAAGCTCATATCTTCCTCCATCTCATCCTCTTCTACGTAGAATCCCGTGTCAGCTTCATCGAATCCTTCGTTCTCGGCGCCTCGAATGAAGCTCGAATTTCCTTCATCTTCTAAATCTGGTTTCGAGGAGGTCGAGGCTGCATTGTTTTCATCTCCTCTTTCGGCCAACCGCCGAGGAGGGCGAACACCGTTTCGCTGCAAGGTCAAGGGCGAGGTAGAACGATGCTTCGACCACCTGTCAGAGCCATCATTGGGGATAACAAAAGATGCGTCCGGGTCGAGTCGTTTCGAAGGGTCGTATGGCTGCTCTTCAGCGTCCGCTGCGAACTCCTCGTATACTGCTCGGCACAATTTATGACAGGCATCGTCCTGCGCGAGATTGTCTACAGATAGAAAGAGATCGTATCGGTCATCCGTAGGTACATGAAATTGAGCGATCATTGTACATATGTTCTGCATCGCACTTACATCAAGGCTCGATGCTAAGCTAATATAAAAGTCTGCAGAGTTGAGGGTATCATGGCCTACGGCGATGTCCTCACTCATGGTACACGATGTCGAGTTCAGCTCCGGGATCATGGCATACAAGCTGAGGATCGCCTGTGCCGAAATCGACTCGCTAGTCACAGATGTGTCCTGCAACATATAGATGTTAGCCAGTGCACCAAAGGCCTGGGCCTGAGGAATATTCAGGGAAAATCGGTAAGGTTGAGAAATGGGAGGGATGCCATATTGCTCTTTATCTGAAAGTATACCATTGAGAAACTGAACGATAGAACATGGTATATGCCACTCACTTCGCGATTTAAAGCTAGCAGTGAACCTGCGCCGTGCTCTACACAATCCGCCGTGGGCATATCTACGACCCCGCCTCGAGGCACCTTCCTCCATGAGAAGAACGATACAGTCAGAACAATCGCAAGGATAGCCATGATTGCGACATATTGACATATATCATCAAAGGGTTGGGAGAGGTAAGTCGAGGGCGGAAGGAGGTACGCCGGAGTCAAGGTTGTGCAGAACAAAGAGACCGCAAGTGGTGGCCATTCCCATGACGGAAAGGAGGATGAGCAGATCGAAGAAGCGATCCCAAGAGCTTGGGCGAGTGACGAGAAAAGGCGATTGGCGGTTGGCGGGAGTAGAGGAAAAGGAACCACGGGATGGTCTGGACACCCGCCTAACTACGAACACACAAGTTACCACCGCGACGGCGAATGTCGAAAGCACCAACGCCGCCACCATCTCCAGCGTCGGCGCAACTTGCATGACCTTGGACAAGGGTTTGTCATTAGACGGGCATTGTATAACCGTCGTCGGAGTCGGCGTGAACGTTGTCAGCTCGACAAACGGTGCGACATCCCTTGGGTCTTGAGCGATTTCAATGACGGTTCGCTCGATGGGGATCGTGACCACCCAGGATGGTAAAACTTCATCCAGGAATGCTGCCATGTCGAATGTCACATTGACCTTGACGGTACGACGGAGAGGGTGTCTGCGAGGAGGGATGGTGCTTCCCACCTGAGATTGAGGTCGAAAGTCAGCCCATAGGCTTTATATATTGGTGTAAAGACAGATGAGAACGTAGTCAGCGAGAGGCCCGAACAGGAAACCATGGTAGTGGTTCTTGGTCAAGAATGTATATGTTCGTTTGGTCAGTCCATGGTTGGTTTGATACCTACCGATCTTTCCTCGATTGTTGACCATTACCTGGTGCGTGACCAGCGCGTCGAGGAAGAAAACACATTCTACAGAACAGAATAGTAATACAATAAAAAGGCGAGTGACGGAAAGAGGGTTAGAATCGAACTCTGGCATGCAGAGATATGGGCCAACGCGTTGTAGTAGACTAGGAAGAATATTTATTTAGGTGTCGGATCGACGGGTCGAATATAGCGCGCTCGTTTGTCCACGGAGCACTACTAGCTCCCATCGAAGGTGTCCTAATGCTGAAACATGGGAAAATAGAGTCCTATCCACGACGCTGTGTAGATATCCACGAAGATATGTTGCTAGAAGTTGCTGTGAAGAATTCCAAGAAAAATGTGGCTGTATGATCTACTATTCTATATGCAGATGATTCTGCGTGTTATTGGTATCTCCCAATAGTTTGACCACTGCCGACAAGACGATTAGCGGAAATATTGGTACAAGGAATATGCATTGATACATCATTTTTGATACCAGACAGATACATTTTTATGTTTCCCAGAGACAACGGCTGTCTGCCCAGTATATGGAAAACCCGAGCAACAAATAAGATCACGGAATGTTGACGCTTTCCCCAATTTACCTGATCTGAGTGCACAAACTAGCGAGTGCGTGAAAATGTCGCGAAACCCGGTATGTCCAACTTCTCTCTCATATGTATACTTTCCAGTTTCAGCTGCGGCCAAGACTACGTGAGATGTGCTATCTTCTTTCCGGTGCGGAACCCATATGGACGGTGTTTCGTGAAAGATAGGGAGCCTCCGAACGGTGTCATCGGCAGCCCCGAGCATGCGAACGAAATAGCCAGAGTGCAGAGAACCGACGTTGCGCATTTCTGAAGTTTGGTCCCGAATTATTTCACCGTTACTGGCATCCTGGATGAAAGTGATGTGGTGTCCCTTTTCAACGCATACTTGCCTGAGAATGGCGTTGATCTCTCGGTTGCTGACGTCGGGTGTACACTTGCTGATGTCGGAGCTCTCCACATCGCCACGATGAATGGGACAAAGGGACCTAATCATTCTCAGATTCATATGAATTCCCGTACTTGTAACTCGTGGGATATGGGCAGTCAGGATAATCATAGCATGAACCGTGCCCGGCAAAGTAGATAATAATGTTATCGTCCTTCTTGATTTCGGAATTGGTTATGAGATTGCAAAGTGTACTGATGATGTTCGCGCGATTAAGGTGGGGGTATTCGACGGGAAGACAGTGGTCGCAGTGCTTGCCAGAGGGACCGAGAAGTAGCTGGATGCGATCTTTGGGAACGCGGAGATCATTAAGTAGTCATTCATCTCCAGCGCATCCGACACGCAACCACGGAGTGGGTTAGTACTGTATCCGTCGATACCGATAAGGACTGCCCAGAACCGGCATCCGTCCAAATCATGGGGGGCCTACAGTGAATGCTCAGAGCCAGGGCCGACGCAGAAATAACACATCCTTACCTTAGCAAAGGCAGTCAGCTCTGAACGAAGGGTACCGTTTTCGATCCTTGCAATTTTTGAGCAAAGAATTTTCACATCCTCTTCCATCTGCAACGCCTGTGATCTGGCTACGTCACACTTGTGCAGAGTCGACCCACACAGCCATACCGCATTCTTTCGCCAGCGCATCCACCTCTTCTGCCTCAAGCCGCTCCAGGAGAATCTCTAAGGGAATTTCTTGATCAATCGTTAGAATACTGATCAAGAAGCCCAGAAAGAGCACCGTTTACCTTCAGCGTGGTATCCATTGAAACCATATGGATGTATCGTCCAAAGGGTGGTGAGACTTGGAATTGCCGTCATACTAGTAGCGGTTTCAATCATGTATTTAGTAAGCGACTTTTTCATTTTCGCCGACAAGCTCAAACAATTGAACCAGTGACCAATCCATTTTATCAAATTCGCTCACCAGTCAAAACGGAGTACAATAAAATGGCTCTTTTGATCTTCCGTCTTCCACACCCCCGTTCACTGCTAGCCGAACTACTTCGTGCCAATGCCTCGACCAGAATCTTACTCGAATCATGGACAAGACCATGTCTGGCCACCAATTTTGTCAAAATCATACCATCACATTTTTCTTTTATGTACTCATATCAGCGAGGTGGCCTCTTGTCTTCCAGCTGATACCCCAAACCCCATCAAACGGTTCTGTGAAATCGTCCTTCAGAAGTTACCCAGAGACGCCAGTGATATCAAAAGTTTCCAAACAGAGTCGTTCAATAGTTTGCTGGTCGATCTGTGTGTTACAATGCGTTCTTTCATTGATATAGTCTGATGTTCTGGTGCCGCAGGGCACCCATAACTCTTGAATACAAGATCGATGCTAGTACGGTTGAGCCGCCTATTGCTCAGAAACGACGCGACGATGACGAAAGACCCGGGGACCTTTCAACTGACATCAACTTCTCACTAATTCCTCTCTTGGAAGATCTTTTTGACCCTACCGAGTCCTCTGCGGCGCCGTTCAGCCTTCAGGCCACCAACATGAATCATCCAAGCCGGAGCCAACCACCATTCAGTTCCTGCTTTATCCCGGACGATAAGGTCCTTGGAGGAAGTGGGAAGGTTATCAAGGTTGACCGCAACGGCAATTTCAACATCCGAGCATCAGATGAATCGACACATGGTAAATGTCTTTTTTTGCGTAGTGCAGAGTAACACTTGTTAACGAAATTAGGAGGCGAAGGTAACAGACGTACCAGGCCCACCATCCAGGACGTTCAGGCTGATCAATCCGAACGCAACAATACGACAACTTTCTCGCAATTTTCAAAACTCGTTCCGTACCAAAACTTGTTACAGCCTATTATGAATCTGTTTCCTCTGTTCCTGTGGTCAGAGCCATAAATACCGTGCCTCGTACTCGTCCTCGTTCCAATACGTTCGTCATGGCTGCACCGCCTCAACTCCCACAAACTCCGGTTTCCCTCCGCCATCCTACATCCTCTTCAAATGCCGTATCTGTTAGCACCGCTTTACGCACTGGGGCTCCTTCAGATGTCACAATCAATGGCGACAGTGCAGGCTCCAAAGATTCCCGAGTCTACATATGCCAGGAACTTTCTTCATGCGCAATCTCACCCCCAACGCAAGGCATAAACATGATTGTGGGCGAACAAAGCAACAAGCGGAGCCGATACCAGAGTCCTGACCTGGAAGACCAAACGCTTTCACACCGACCGTGTAAATTCAGACGCAAGTCAAATAACGGGCCAGGTCTCTCGGGCTCGAAGTAACCTATACTTGTAAATCTGCAGATATAAATCAAACATGAACGATTACTTACGCTGAAACCTGGAGAGATCTATCTTAGTAGCGAGCGTCGTGAGATAGGTAGGCATGAATTTGCCTTCTCGAACTCTTGAGACCTGACAGCTTTCCCTGACAAGGAAAACTTTACCCCACGGTGGCACGGTCCGATACCCGGAACCTTGAGCGAGGCCGGTCCCAAGTCGGAGGACGGATCTCCTCTTATAAGATTCGCGATATGATTTCTCCGTCAGTTCACTTCCCTTTCGTCAGTCACCATGAAAACCTTTATCTATAACGTGCTTCCGTCTCGTGTCATCTTTGGTAATGGCACTCTTGCGCAAATCGTCCAAGAGATAACAAACCTCGGATGCAGCAAGGCCTTGATATTGACTACGCCGAGACAATCAACAAAGGGAGAGCAGCTGAAGGAGCTCTTGGGAGATATGGCGGTTGACGTATACACGAATGCGACGATGCATACACCAACGAATGTTACCGATGACGCTGTTGGCATCGTCCAGAAACTGGGCGCAGATGTGGTCATTGCCCTCGGGGGTGGTTCAACAATCGGTCTGGCGAAGGCAATCGCACTGAGGACTGATTTACCGCAAATCGCCATTCCAACGACATATGCAGGATCGGAGGTGAGTAGATAGATTCGCTTAGAGGCGAATGCTGAGACACCAAGCTTCCTCGTAGGCAACACCCATTATTGGTCAGACAGAAAATAGCCTGAAAACGACGCTAAAGACCCTTAAAGTTCTCCCGGAGGTGATCATCTACGATGTTTCCCTGACCATGACCTTGCCAACGCGGACGACTATCACTTCCGGATTGAACGCCATCGCGCACGCCGTCGAGGCTCTTTACTCAAAGGAGGCTAATCCCATCACCGACACTCTTGCCGGACAAGGAATTTCGAGCATTGCTAAAGCTCTTCCCATCCTCGTGAATGACTCTCAGAACCTCGACGCGCGCAGCGAAGCTCTCTATGGCGCCTGGGTGTGCGGGACGTGTCTGAGTACAGTAGGAATGGGGCTACATCATAAACTATGCCACACACTTGGTAAGTGCCTTTCAGCTGACTAGAATGTGAACAAGTGCCCAAGCGAGCGATAGGTGGTACCTTCAACATGCCTCATGCCGAAACCCACACTGTCATCCTCCCTCATTCAATGGCCTACAATGCGCCTTATGCTCAGGAAGCGATGGCAAAGGTCGCAAACAGTCTCGGTGTATCCAATGCGGCTCAGGGCATATTTGATCTTTCCAAGAGTCTTGGGGCGCCATCCACATTGAAGGAGCTAGGAATGAAAGAGGAGGACCTGGAGAAAGCGGCTGATATCGCTTCGAAGAGTCCATATCCTAACCCCGCACCTTTGGAGAAGGAGGGGCTCCTGCAGCTGCTGAGAAATGCATATGGAGGAGTGCGACCGAACTAACAATGACGATGAACAATATAAAGAAGAAATCCATTGTGCGATATCGAATGCTGTGGAATGATGGCTCTGCGCCATTCAAACTGCGTAGGCATTCCAAAATCAGCGGTCCTTTTCTACTTGTCTACGTCCAATAAGAACAGGTCCCCTGCTCTATTACCCAACACAATGCGCCCCGTAGCCTCTCCCAACGCACAGTGCGTGAAGTCCTCTTTACGATCGCTTAGCTTATTCCTGAAGGCAAATGAAAATGCCGAACCTCGTAAATCGTAAGATCTTTCATCATGCACAACACGCGCCTCGATCCTCATGACCTCTCCCAGATCCTGAATTCTACCCGGGCGCCGCAACCGGGCTAGCACGATCTCCCTGAGCATGCTACCACGACTCCGCTCTATCCAGGCCGCTCTCATCGCCTGCGGTCCCATACAGTACGCACTGATGTATCCACTTATCCCGTTCTCAAGAGTAGCCCAAGCTTCCGGTGCTGGGGAGCTCTCGAAAACACTAGATTCCTGTATATAGAATGGCGTGCGTACAGGATCCGCGTCTTGGCGCGCGAACGGCATCATATACGCTTGTCTGTATATGAGGTTTGAGAGGGAGTTCAGGCCAGTCAGGTTCACTTCGAGAGTCGGCACACTCGTGATGTGTGCAGTGTAATGAAAAAGGCCGTGGATGACGTCTGAAGCGACAAAGTCCAGTGTAAGAACGTCTGGGAGTTCATGGTCGGGAATCTCTGAAATAACGTAGCTACGGAACGTTTTGGAGAACTTGTGCTTCAGTATACGAGGGGTATGCATGATTGCCGGGGACCCGCTTCGTACTAGATCATTTGGCAAAGGATGCAATTCGATTGAACGTGTTTTGAACACAATCACATACGATCCAAAGAGACGAACGTCATGGATAGCCGTGTACTAGAAAATGGATGATGAAATTCCAGTTTATTTTGCAGGGTCGATCTAGGGGCTTACCAACTCTTCCATATTCTCGCCTTCGGTTGGAATCAGGACGGGTGGGTTCTCCTCCTTCGTCCAGTCCAGTAGTTCTATAGAACAGGCATGTGAAGACAATACAACGTTATGTACCGGATCGATATGACGTGGCGAGTACAGAGGGTTTGACCCAATACCATGCACGAGACGAAATCCATAGGGCGACACCAGAGATATGTCATACAAGAGTGTCACAAAAGGACTTGTAAACCTACATTTTGTGAGTTTATACTTCATTCCAATGAAAAAGGCATAGCCTACGAATGCTTCTTGAGCACAATCAATATCCTGTCATTCGGGATATCCAACGCTGCCGTATAGGACGCGAATCCTGATTTACTTAGCTTCAAGCTCGCGCATCGAAAGCCCGGAAATCCACCACAGGGCAGGTCCAGATCCCATAGGTGCATGCCTTCACCGTACACGGCAAGAAGCCACCTGTCTAGGAACACGTTTAGCCCTATGAGCTGAACGTTTCCGCTGTGCTGCAATTTGGTGGGAGATCTGCGTCTATTTCCTAACCATAGCCGGTCGATACGACGCGCAGTAAGTACTTCAGATTGGAGAACAGATGGATCGAGACCAAGGATATAGGATGAGTGGGGTTCGCGGAGGGACGCCACGAAGGGGATTTGGTGCTGTTGTTCTTGTAAAAGAGAAATCCAAACAGATTTGTCTTGTATGGCTGCATGAATTGGACTGCAGGTCTGGATATAAAGCTTGTGTACCAGAGCTTGATGTGAATGAAGGGTACGGTCGTACCTGTCTAAGCGATAGGATATCGGATATATCAAGGAGAGAGACGACGATTAACAATATCTCATTCGGTAAGTCGTATATATTGGCCATCTTGACCAAAATCTTGCAGGAGGACTGAGAAAAATACGGCGGTGGTGTGGCAAGGTGGAAAGGCCGTGATAGTGCGAAAGACGGGTCAGCCCGAATCGTTGTTGACAAAAAATACCGTACTTTTCTTGTTGAAACTTAGAGAAACCGATGAGAATAAATCCTATTCTGTGGTACTGATACAGTGATACACCCCTCATACAATCCACGATCTATAAATTACGACAGTAAAATAAGCAACTGTTCGGTGTAAGTCTTTATCGTCCAGTGTTCGCCGGAGGCTTCATCTGCATCATCATCTGCTGAGTTTGTTGGGCCTGTTGTTGCTGCTGCTGGTTCACTTGCATCCCATGGATCTGCCCATTGACCACAGGTCGCATATTCATCCAATACGCAGTATTCATCGGCATGCGATAATTCATTTGGGGCATCTGAGTGTACCCGTACATCTGAGGGGCATAGTGAATCTGTGCTTGCTGCGGCTGCTGTGTACTTGCATCTGCATTTGGTTGAGAAGCGCGATTGGGGACATTCGTAGCCTGGGGTCGGGGTGATGATGTGTTCTGGTGAGCCAAAGTGCGGTACTGCGCAGCAGCAGCGGTGTTGTATTGTTGGAAGTTTATCTGGGGCTGCTGGGGGTGCACCATCTGTGGGGTGGCCTGTTGAGCCTGCACTTGAGGTTGGGGTGGCATGGGTGAACGAGATGCAATACGCTGATTTGCAATCATGGGGGTGGCTCGGGCGGGTACAGGTGTCCCATGTACTGCATTGCCCTGAGCGGCGGGAGCTGTAGATGTACGGCCGCTCTGCTGCTGCCTCTGTTGGTGTATACGCTGCTGCATCATATGCTGTTGTATCATATGCTGCTGCTGCTGTGGCGTTAGGTGCAATGGTGGGTTATGTTGCTGTTGCTGCGCGGGCGTTGCGGAGCGTACGGCAGCAGCAGCAGCAGCGAGGGAAACTGCATTTTGGTTGTGCGCAGCAGCAGCTGCTTTGGTATGATTGACACGAGTATTGGCTGCAGGATTTTGGTGGATAAACTGAGTTTGGTTTTGTATCGGTGGTTGATACGTGACGGGACGAGGCGTTGGGGCCTTAGCAGGCTGTATAGCTTGTGGCGCTTGCTGTTGCACGCGAGGAGACTGGTTGTGCGAGGGCTGTTGTTGTTTTGAAGGGGAAGATATTCTGGGCACGCTTTCTTGCGCCGGAAAGGACAGAGGTGTTCGGGTCGTGGGAGATGGCGTGTTGGATGTTTTCGTAGTTTGATTTTGGGCATGGAACTGATGGGTGGCAGGCGCAGAGTGCGGAATAGCTGGCTTGGCAAAGGTTATTTGAGAAGGAGGAGGCTCTATCTTTGACTTTGGTTTCGACTTCGCAGGATCCTCCTGCTCCGCTGGAGGAGGAAGGGGCTGGGGTGCTGGGGTGTCGGTAGTAGAAGGCGCGGGAGACTGAGTAGCCGAGGGAGCGACGGTTACGGGAGGCTGCTGGGGCTGGGGAGTAGTGCTGCCTTTGGATTCTTTGGCCTGTTTTGACCTCTGAATAGCATCCAGTATGCGATGGCTGGACGAATAAGGGTCAGACAGGTACAGAACTAAGGATATAAATCGCATACTTTGCGCTGGGAACACGAGTAGCTCTAGAATTCATGAATTGCATGATCTTGGCTCTGCGGGCCTTGTCTGTTTCATCTTCTTCCTGATCCATAGCGGATACTTTGCGCTTCAGAGAGGCGGGCACAGTGGGAGTCGATACTCGGACAATGTGGTTCACCATGCGAGTAAGGTGGGGATCTGGATCAAGACATAAAGGTGGGGCAGTGGCGAGCTGTTGCTGGTGTTTCAGCGACACGGAGAAGAACAGTTGGAAAGGAGCTAGCTCACTAGAATTCGGGATTCAATTTCCAAGGCGTCCCTGTCAGTCATAACAAGATCCTCCTGCTGCTTCGCAGCAGCAGCGATTTTGCAGGTATCTGCCCATAACGATTCTGGCGTAGGGTGCAGGACAGTACGCGTTCGTACTGGCTTTTCTAGCGGCGGGTCATTGACCTTCTGAGGGCGATAGTCCAGGAGCTCAGCAATCAAACACCCTATAAAGAACTTTGAACATCAATTAATAGGGATATTATGCCACTCACCATCATAGAAATGGATGTTGGGAGAAGCGTCAAAGAGATCTAGAAAATCTACTGGCAGTTGATGAGCTCGAATATCATCGAGTAATGACTGAATAGTACAAAGTAAGTGTAACTATCCTTGCCATAGAAATGAACGAACCGCAGCGTAATTGTTGTAGAGAAACTTGGATCCATTATTGAGAACCCAATGTTCCGCATGTAGGTGTATGGTGAATGATGGTGGCTTCGATTCATTCTTTGCCAGTAGTTCCTGCAATCCTTTGGTATCAAATGGCGCTACAGATGCGAAAGGGACCGACCTCAACCTGGCGAGTCTGATTGTACCATGTTATAGCCATGTCGACCCTCACACGTTGCAGTCTAATTGAGGGCAGTTCTTAAGGCCCTCGTTGTAGCCAGTCGCACTTATTTCTCGAGCAAGCAGCAGAAGCGACCCGGCAGTAACTCGGACGCTCCGTGCAAGATGAAGATGCTGACAAAGACGATGCAAGGGAGTACGGCTCTCTGTAAGCTTCGAGGCTTCCAAATCCGGTCATCGAGATTTTTGGCTTTTGGTGTTCGCGATCATGGAGGCACAGCTAAGAGAGGTGAGTCTGGTACTCTTCACCAGTGGCTCCATTAATTTTTAGGCTTAGATTGTTCCATTTCTGCGTGACAAGAATCCCCAAGTACGGCACCTAGCGCTTTCAACACTTCTACCGCAAACAGCAAAGGATGCGCCGCACAGAAATATCTTTCTATCTGGGCTACAGTCAGGCGGCCTTCAAAAGTCTAAAGAGGCGGAAATAATCAAGGACTTGAAGCTTCTCTGTCGTGACCAGCTGGTGAGTTTGTCTGTTCCAGTAGCCCGACTAGATCTCTGATATAATCAGTGAGGCCGTAGCTCATGACGCATTCAAAGCGCTCGTGAACTTGACCGACTCGCCTTTGGTTGTTCAGATGTTGTCGGATGCTAATTTTATGAACTTCATAGTTTCCTATATCATAGTAAGTCAGTCCCGAATTCTCATTTGTCCTGTCGTTGATGCAAGACCGAAGAATCCAGACGCCATTCTAGCGGACCTAGCGTCAATGTTACTGTCAAACCTAACAGCTTCTTCCGTGGCATGCTCATTGATTATATCTATGACCGTGAACGTGATTTCGGATCCAAAAGTCAAAAATTCATTCTATCCCACTCAGTCACGGAGTGGATCGTGTCCTGCTCCGGTGCCATACCCTTCTGGCAAAGCGAGCGATGTTCTCGCATTACCATTTTTACTAGATGCTTTCGTTCAAGGCGCACAGTTGAAACAAACAGAAGATCCTTCAAAACACTTGCGCAAGAGCGAGCTCCATTTCCTAGCCAGCGTTTTCGCCAATATTGCATCGGTGAGTGACCTACTACACAAGAAAACCTGTTATTCTCATGCTGTTTTCAAGTCATCGGGTGGCCGTAGTTTCTTCTTTACCCCAAGACCAGCCAATTTTTTGATACCGAACGACGCAATTGAATATCCTTTAGCCAAACTGGTGACCTTTACTGAGCACAAGGACACTATTCGAAGAGGTGGGGTTGCCAATACAATAAAGTAACGATTCAGCGTTGTTCGGTCAACTTTTTCTGACCATGGTTATCAGGAATTGTTCATTCCATTCAGCGGGTCATTGTGCTATGCTCACACTCGAGAATACTCTCGTAGCTGTTCCACCCTCGACCATTGAGGCGCCAGGCATTGACGTTCTGCCATACTTGCTTCTACCTCTGGCAGGTCCTGAAGAATTTGACTTGGAGGTTTGTCCCTCTCTCTCATCTCCCAGAATATATCTGATATTTATGTTCGTCAGGACCAAGAGAAACTACCGGAAGCTCTACAGTTTCTATCTTCAGACAAAACCAGGGAACCCGATCAAGTAATCAGGTTAGCGCATGTCGAGACGTTGCTCATTTTCTGCCACACACGTTGGGGACGCGACTACCTGCGTGGCCATGGCGTCTATGAGATCATAAGAGCTACACATGAAAATGAGACTGTCGACAAGGTAACTGGCCTTTGCTTGTCCCTAAATCGCGTTCTCATGCTAAAATGGGCAGATTTCTGAACATATAGAGAGACTCGTTAATCTTCTAAAACGTGATGAGCCTCCCGAGCAAGTGGAGAAAGTGTCAGAAGATCTTGCCAACGCGCATATCGAAGATGATGATGACGACGAGGATAATAAAATCGAAGAAGTCTAGGCATGTGAGCTTTTCCTTTGTAGCGTATACCACGACTAAAGCCTCTATCAGACAAAGGCCTGGCCTCTACTCATGTTGTACCACTAGGGCCCAAACTGCTATCTTAATCTCAAATTTTCTTCGCTGTTTCCCTTGTTCCTTTGGTTTGCACTGCAGGAAGAACGGTAGAATAATCTACAATAATTCTCACAAACAAGTGTGAAAGGGCCTGGTCCCTCGTTCAATCCTGCGCAACAAACCTCCGTCTCGTGAGAAACGCTAATTCTTCTCTTTTTTTAGAAGAACCCTCAAAGTGCTTTAATACAAATACGTTCGACCAAATGGCGACCCGAGCTCCCCGCATCCACATCAATCCCTCTTGTCTATATCATATTTAGGGTTAGGAGCCGTCTCCAATCGATGTTGATCACCAGAAAATGTATGTCGTCGGAAGCTGTTATTCCAACCAGGTACGTGGTGACGTGGTATCACGAAAGTCTGTGCTAATTTTGCAGAAGCTGAATCATCTCTCTGGAGACCCCGACCAAGATGTGATGATTGTGATGATGTATGTATGGATTCTCACTCTCCAAACTTTTCTGTTAACGACCGATGCTCCAGTAACTCCAGTGTTGCGAAGGGAATACAACCTGTCGTAAAGGAAAAGTTATCAGAACATCAGCACCCTGTTCTGCTACGACCCGGACAGTACTGTATTCGATGAGAAAAGTTTGGGAGTTGCATCTCAATATAGTCTTTTCGTGGGAAAGAGGTCTCCACAATATTACTCCGAAGCGATATAAAGCATTGGAAACCATTCAGAAGTACCAAGGCTCTTGGTCTCCTACCTCACTGCCAATTCTTCTTGTCGATCTGTGACCGACCTTTTACTTCCTTTCGTCTTTGACTCTCCTTTGTCCACTTCATTTGTCTGTGCAGACCACATATTCGTCGCAGCGCGCACCTCCTTTACATCATCGCTCTTGTTCTGTCTGTTTTTGTCTTTCAATTTTTTCAACTGTGGTCTTTCAGAATGCAGTTCACATTTGCTCTGCTCGCCATCTTTGCCTGCTTGGCTACATCCGCTAGTGCTGCTCCGTACGGGATGCAGTTTTCGGATTCTGTCATGGTGTGTGTTGTGACAAGGCAGTGGGACGCATTTGCTGAATATGCTTTTAGATTCGGGATAGTACTCCTGGTATTAGTGATAAGGCCCATAAGAAACACCCCGTGCGTGTTGTTATAAGGCAGTGGGACGCATTTGCTGAATATGCTTTTAGGGTCGGGACGGTACTCCTGATATTAGTGATAAGGCCCATAAGAAACACACCGTGCGTGTTGTTACAAGGCACAGGGACGCATTTACTGAATATGTTTTTAGGGTCGGGATGGTACCACTGGTATTATTGAAAAGGCCCACAAGAAACACCCCGTGCGTGTTGTTACAAGGCAGTGAGACGCATTTGCTGAATATGCTTTTAGGTTCGGGATGGTACCATTGGTATTAGTGAGAAGGCCCATAAGAAGCACCCCGTACGTGTTGTTACAAGGCACAGGGACGCATTTACTGAATATGCTTTCAGGTTCGGGATGGTACTCCTGGTATTATTGAAAAGGCCCATAAGAAACACCCCGTACGTGTTGTTACAAGGCAGTGAGACG